AATCATTGACAAAATTAAGAACAATCAGTGACAGTAAGAGCAAACTATAATTTTAAGAAAATGCAGTTAAAAATAAGTGCGTCTTTAATTTATTTTTAAAAACCTCTATAGACTGTGGCGCTCTCAGGTGATTAGGTAGAGCATTCCAAATTCGAGGTGCAGCTACCTGGAAAGCCCCGTCTCTCATAGTGTGGAGTTTAGACATAGGAACCTGGAGTTTGTGGCTGTCAGAAGAGCGGAGATGTCGGGGTGGATTATGAAAATTAATGAGTTCTTTAGGATACTCTGGTGCGCTACCGTAGACACACTGATAGGTCAGGAGACAGATCTTGTAATCAATCCTTAATCTAACCGGGAGCCAGTGGAGTTTTTGGAGGATGGGTGTGATGTGCTCAAATTTGCGCACCCCCATCAGGACCCTGGCAGCGCAATTCTGGATGTACTGCAATCTTTGCATGCTCCTGCCAGGGATCCAAACGAGGAGTGAATTGCAGTAGTCAAGCCTGGAGGAGACAAAGGCATGCACCAGCATCTCTGCATCAGAAAAGGAGAGGGAGGAGCGGAGTTTGGAAATGTTCCGGAGATGAAAAAAAGCAGTTTTACAGGTGTGTTGGATGTGAGTGTTAAATGATAGATGGGCGTCAAATCGAACCCCCAGGTTTGTTATAGAGGATGTCAAAGGAATGTCACGGCCAGCAAATGAGTAGACGGTCAGCGGGGAAGATCGGAGTTGGTGTGGGGTCCCAATAAGGAGACCTTCAGTTTTGGTGCTGTTTAACTGGAGGAAGTTATCCGTCATCCATGCCCTTGTCTCCTCCAGGCAGTGGAGGGTGGAGAGTGATGGTGTAGATGATGTGGGGTCTAGCCTGACATATAGCTGAGTATCATCAGCATAGCAGTGGAAGGCAACGCCATGCTTGCTGATGATGTGGCCCAGTGGGAGCATATAAATGGAGAAAAGGGTAGGGCCGAGAACGGAACCCTGGGGCACTCCACATGTAACTGTGTGGGGCCTCGACCTGGCTCCCCCCATAGCCACATACTCAACACTGTCAGTCAGGTAGGATCGAAACCATTGGAGTGCTTGTATGTGAGATGCCAATGAGATGTTGCAGATGATTGAGTAAAATGTTATGGTCACCAGTGTCGAAGGCGGCTGTGAGGTCCAAGAGAATAAGTAGAGATGGAGAGCCCTGGTCAGCAGCCAGCAGGGCTGTCTCTACACTATGGCTGGAGCGGAAACCAGACTGAAATTTTTCATAGAGACCATGTGAATGAAGATGATTATGAATTTGAGTTGAAACTACTTTTTCAATGAATTTGGAGTGAAATGGAAGGTTGGAAACCCGATGTGTGTGTTGCAGTTCCGCCTGGTGTATCCACGCAGGACAGTGACTATGTTGGCTCCACTGTCAGTGACAAACACAAAATGGCCAGATAGAAGTGACGCATTTATTTCAAATTCACAGAGTTTCTGGAACAGCAGGCACCTGATATTCTCCCGTCTTTGATACACCACTCTCAAAGGGAGCCGGGAATAACACCCAATAAACGTTTGTATAATGGATAGTGCCGGATTTGATTGAAGTTTTATGGTAATCCTCCATCCATATATCTGTTGTGAAGGCACATCCATATGTTTCAATGATAGGCTTTATCTCTGCTGCCATTGACGCCTGCAGTACTTGGGCTCGCCCCTCGACATGTCTGGATACAGTGGTTGGATGAGGTAAAACATCTTTAACATCAAATTTGCCATATTTAGTGGCAACATCAACAAAGTGTTGCGATATATCAACAAAGCCTTTCCCAAGGCTCGAAATTGCGACCATTTTGGTCGCATATGCTCCTGAATTTTAACCTGTGCGACCTAAAAATATATTTGGGAGCATTAGTGCGAGTGCAAATAATGGTTGTGGTGCGACCTGTTTTCATTTCTCTACAAAAAGTTCGCAAATTACTGTGTACCACACCGTGTCCTAACTACACGCGACGCGATAAAATTCTAGCGACAGCAAGTGTCTGTCCACACTAGACGTGACGCGACTGTGAGATGCCACACATTCAGAACAGCGTGTGAGCGGAGTCTCTCTGTGAAAGCGCACTGTTGGCCCGCACTCGCATTGAATATGGGTAAGGACATAATCAAATAAAGAAATAACATTATTAAAAATCAAACCATTAACAAAATATACTCATTGACTAATTTTGTTATGAAGTACAGTTGTATGTTTGCATAGAATTCATTTTGAACGCTATATTACATGCTTTCAAAATCTGAGCTAAATTATCCGTTATCGCTTGTGACACAGTGACCTTTTTTTAACTAAAAATAAATAAGGTATACTCATAACCAGTGTAATTTCTTCATTCTGTCAGCCGCGGCGTCGCAGAAATAGGAACCGTTTCTAAATTAGAAACTTCGCGTGTTGCCGCCGCGTCTAGTTAGGACAAAAACTCTGATTAACATGGAAAAGATACCTTTTATCGCGTGTCATTAGGACACAGTGTTATGCTGATACGCGGTGGCCAGACCATCATTTTATCCAACGTTACATAACCAATCAAACTTCATCCATACGTTCTTAACTTTAAAGCAGATTTTAAATTGGTTAATATCAGCTGTCAATCACTCCCTTTCGCGGGGCTCACGTGTGCCAATATAATCGGGGTCATAGCAGATAGATACTATCCGCAAGAACAGCGCAGTTAAAGTGTCGTCAGCTCAGTACATCTCTTTCATTATCGATGGAGACACCGACCTGTCTGTCAAGGAGTGTGTGATCGTGTATGTCCGCGTCCTGCTTGATGGACAGCCCACGAACATCCCGGACACGTTGAGGTGGAACATGCCAATTTTTTTTATTTATATTTTTTTCTTAATACATAGCTTCTTTAGTATTATATAGCAATATATGAGTAATATACTTTGGTTGTTTCATTAATGGATGAATCAGCGTTTTTTTTTAACAAATCTCTTGAATGAATGATTCAATAACAAATACATTTAAGTCACTTGTCGCCACCTAGTGGAGTAACAATGTGATCGATACAATTGTTATTTGAAGCTCCATGTTACTTTCAAAAGGTGCTTGTCTCTATTTTCATCGCTTCTGTAGACGTCAGTGTTTATATCCAAACCATAATCTTTAATTCTAGTTCCGATTCAAGTTCTTCTGTGATGAGAATATTTGTAACACAGAAATAACATTACTGCGTAGTTGTATATACTCTCTGGGTCAGCAGGAGCACCATAATGTTCCACTGTGATTTATAATAGACATGTTTAATAGACAAAAAGTTGTAATTTAGGAATGAAAATCAGACATTAGATCTTCATTACATCCTAACACAGTAGAAGATCTAATTCAAATCAGCGTTGAGGGTCCTCCTTTGGAGGCGTTCGATGCCCCAGTGAAGAGATGGATGGAGGAGGGACAGAGAGCCTGGAGACCAAATTTTAAATCCTGGCCACAGGATGTGTAAAGCCCTGAAAAAAATTTGTTGGTGTTGATAGGTATTGTTTTTAATTGAAAGAAATCTGTTTATATATAATTTGTAATTGTGGTGCTCCTTAATTTTTGGTGGGTGCTCCTTAATTTTTGCTGGTGCTCCTAACTTTTTGAAGTTGGTAGCACCAGTGCTACCAAGTAAAAAAGTTAATTTCGAGCCCTGCTTTCCCGGTGACAAAGTCATATGGCCTTGTGTCTAGACAGCACACTTCCGCACATTTCTCTGTAGTTTTTTGTTTAACGTGTAGGGAGATGTTGTTTATCCTTAAAAAACAGCTTACTTTGACCGGGGAGCACAGAGCAGGTGTGTCGCCTCAACCCAGACGTGCCGGATATGTGCCCATTGGAGATTAATATCTTTGCACATTTGTCACAATGAACAAACAAAGTCCAGTTCCTTTCCATCTTTGTCACAGACAATTGAGAAACTTCTCCAAATGTCGGACTTGCCTTGCTTATGTTTTGTGCTGAAAATACCTGCTAACGTCTGATCCCGCAGGTTTTTTTCTTTAGCCGCCCATTACCGCCTGCAGCAAAGTTCAAACCACCCGCTCCTGCGAGATTTGCGTTGGGTCCCGTGGGACCCGGCGGGACTCAATCCCAATACAGCCTTCTAGTCCAGTCCTCTCCCTCTTCACTAAGCCTCCTGTTAGTCTGGCTAAACCAAGCATGCCACACAAGCCAAAACATCTCGATTGCCCCCCACTAACCAGTCCTAGTATAGGTCATAAACCCCACCTCCCATGTTATTCAATGGGATGTGAGACCAACTAAACAATTAAATTACACTTTACATATCCTTTTTCCAAAGATTCTATCACATTGATGTAATTTCAAGTGTTTGTTTTTAAAATAAGTTTGTTTTAGTTAGTTATTTGATGCTATAAAAACGGTGCTGTGACATCATGATTGACAGCTGTGACTGACAGGTTCTCTGTGCGGGGGTCATGATTTAAGTGAAAACCTTGTAAGGTTTTGACACCTGGGTCCAAGCCCCTGTAGGATCTGGACCAATCGGCCAGGTGTCCTGTTACAGAGCTGTCACAATATACAGATCCGATGCTTCCTTCTAGTCTCGTGTTTGTGTTGTGGTATTAAAGCACATGTGTTGTGGGTGTGAGTGTTGTCATTCCTTGATCCGCTCCAGCTGATCATCATTAATCATCACCAGCTGCAGCTCATCTAAACACTGCTTAAATGCTCACCACATTCTCATTTCCTTGCCAGATCGTTGTTTGATGTCGGTGTTGTGTCTTGTTCCTGGTCTCCGTGTTCCTGTGGATTGTCGTCTCGGTGTTGGACTGTTTCGTCTTGTCTTCACTCTGCACATCACGAGGATTCTCCGCACTCTGACCATCTCGTCCCTGCGTTACCTGTCCACACCCGTGTCACAACCCTGAACTTGTTCTTTCTTTATTAAACTCTCAGTTAACTGCTATTGCTTCCTGTTTTTCCTTTACGATCATGACAGAATGATCTGGCCATCCCATGGAAGCAGCAGGAGAGACACCGACTTCACTGGAGGATTTCGTCCACCACAGCATGAGGAGAATGGACTCGCACGAGAAGAACATTAATGACACGGGTCGTACGGTTCAAGCTTTGGTAACGCAGGTGTCCGAGCTCACCCAGCAGATCCAACTTCTTCGTGCTCCCACTGCGCCGCCCACACCAGCCGTTCCCCCCACATCATCGGACTTCGTCCCGTCACCTGAGCCACGCCTACCGGTTCCAGAGCCCTATGCGGGTGAGTCAGGATACTGCCGAGCATTTTTAACCAGGTGTTCCATGCATTTCGCCCTACAGCCCAGAACATTCCAGAGCGAGCAAGCCAAGGTGGCTTTCGTCATCACTCTACTCACTGGAAAGGCGGCGCTATGGGGAACGGCGGTGTGGGAGAATCAAGACCCGTGCTGCGCCTCGTTCCAAGATCTCTCCGCAGAGATGAAACGAGTGTTCGACAGAGCCGTTGCGGGGAGAGAGGCCGCCAGGGTGCTGGCCGACCTTCGTCAGGGGGAGAGGTCGGTCTCTGACTTTTCCATCGAGTTCTGAACCCTGGCAGCAGAATGTCATTGGAACGAGGAGGCGCAGTGGGACATGTTCCTGCATGGGTTGGCTGACCGCGTCCAACGTGAGATCTACGCCCTGGACCTACCCACGTCACTGAATGGACTTATTGAGTTGGCTTTACGAGTGGATGCACGACTTTCCCGAGTCGGAGGCAGAGCGGCATCTAACTGTCCTCCTGGAGGGTTTGAGGGACAGCGGTCCAGCAGCAGGGACGTGGTCAGCCCCGTCTTCGATCACGAACCCATGCAGGTGGGTCGAGCTCGGCTTTCCCGGGAGGAGAGGGAGAGGCGGAGGTCCCAGGGCCTTTGCCTATATTGTGGAGGTTCGGGACATTTTACATACAACTGCCCGATAAAAGGCCAAGCCCGATAGTAAGTATGAGGCTACTATCGGGTGGGATCTCCGCCGAGAAGACCTCATCCACACCTACACTCCTCCCGGTAAGACTGAGATGGTCAACTCACCAGCACGACTGTAAAGCACTTCTGGACTCAGGGGCTGAAGGTAATTTCATGGACAGTATGTTTGCACACAAATTTCAAATTCCACTCAGACCACTCACTCAGAAGATCGCTGTACACGCACTTAATGGCCAAGAACTTCCCACCATCTCATTCACCACTGAGGATATCACCCTCATCACTTCTGGCAATCATACTGAGACTATTTTTTTTATATCCTGGATTCACCATTGGCACCTGTCGTCCTTGGTCACCCCTGGCTCATCCGTCACAACCCCCGAGTGGACTGGCAGCACAAGACTATACTGGAGTGGAGCAAGGAATGACATAAGTCTTGTCTTGTGTCTGCTTGTCCATCTGTGCCTGTTTTTGTGTTTCCGGAGGAAGCAGGGGATCTGTCTAACGTGCCCGAGGAGTTCCATGACCTGAAAGAAGTGTTCAGTAAGTCTAGGGCTGCTTCTCTTCCTCCTCATCGTCCCTATGACTGTGCCATAGACTTAATGCCAGGTAAGTCTCCGCCTAAAGGCAAGTTATATTCACTTTCTGTTCCAGAAAGGGAGGCTATGGAGAAATATATTTCTGATTCTCTGGCAACCAAATTCATCCGCCCTTCCTCTTCACCAGCGGGGGCGGCGTTCTTTTTTGTGGGGAAGAACGATGGATCTCTGCGACCTTGTATTGATTACCGAGGGTTGAATAACATCACGATAAAGAATACCTATCCTTTGCCGTTGATGTCTTCAGCCTTCGAGAGGTTGCAGGGAGCATCCATCTTCACGAAATTGGACTTACGTAATGCTTATCATTTGGTCCGCATCAGAGAGGGGGATGAATGGAAGACTGCGTTTAATACCCCCAGGGGGCACTTTGAATATTTGGTCATTTTTTTTGGGCTGTCCAACTCCCCAGCAGTCTTCCAGGCACTTGTCAATGACGTGTTGCGAGACATGATAGATCAATTCATATATGTTTACCTGGATGACATATTGATATTTTCCTCGTCTCTCCAGGAGCATGTGCAACACGTACGGCAAGTGCTTCAAAGGTTGTTAGAGAATGGGCTTTATGTCAAGGCGGAGAAATGCGATTTTTATGCGCAGTCTGTTCCTTTTCTAGGACACATCGTCTCGTCTGAGGGAATGCGTGTGGACCCTGACAAGATTAAGGCTGTGGTAGAATGGCCAAGTCCAGATTCCCGTAAGGCCCTACAGAGGTTTCTGGGATTTGCCAATTTCTATCGGCGGTTCACTCGCAACTTCAGCCAGCTGGCCGCGCCTCTGACTGCCTTGACCTCCCCCGGAACTCTGTTCAGGTCAGATACAGCCGAGGCTGTGTTTGCCAACCTCAAGAGCCGCTTTGTTTCAGCTCCCATCCTTGTTGCCCCTGACTATTCACGGCAGTTCGTGGTGGAGGTCAATGCGTCAGAGGTGGGGGTAGGAGCAGTTCTGTCCCAGCGCTCTTCCACAGACGACAAGATGCATCCTTGCGCGTTTTTTTCTCATCGTTTATCCCCAGCCGAACGTAATTATGACATTGGTAACAGGGAGTTGTTGGCAGTCAAGTTAGCGTTGGAATAATGGCGACATTGGTTAGAGGGGTCGGGGGTACCTTTTGTCGTGTGGACCGACCACAAGAATTTGGAGTACATCAGAACCGCCAAAAGACTGAACTCTAGGCAGGCTCGGTGGGCACTTTCGGTCGTTTTGACTTTTCTCTCTCTTACCGCCCGGGTTCAAAAAACATCAAACCCGATTCATTATCTCGTATTTTTGATCGCTCCGAACGCCCGTCTACTCCCGTGTGCATTTTACCGGAAAGCCTATTTGTTTCCACACTCGTATGGGAGATCGAACCGAAGGTCAAGAAGGCCTTAGAAGGGGTAACACCTCCGCCTGCATGTCCACCGAGTCATTTATTTGTGCCAGAGGGATTAAGATCAGACGTCATCCGGTGGGGTCATTGTTCCAACATAGCTTGTCATCCAGGAGTTAATCGTACTAAGTTTTTAGTTAAGCAACGATTCTGGTGGCCACGTATGGCTCGTGACATTCACAGTTTTCACATTCACACATTCCCTGTTACCAATGTCGTAATTACGTTTGGCTTGCTCGGTCTGTGCCACTGGTAAGAATTCCAATCGACCCCCAGATGGGCTCCTCCAACCGCTGCCAGTCCCTTCGAGACCCTGGTCCCACATCGCTCTAGATTTTATCACCACCCTCCCACCCTCTCAGGGTAACACTGTCGTTTTGACAGTGGTGGACTGGTTCTCGAAGGCGGCTCACTTTATTCCCTTACCCAAATTACCCTCAACTAAGGAGACAGCGTTGAGAGTCGTTGACCACGTCTTTCGCTTACATGGCCTCCCGATGGACGTGGTCTCTGACAGAAGTCCCCAGTTTGTGTCCAAATTTTGGCAAGAGTTTTGTAAATTACTGGGGGCGACGGTTAGTCTGTCTTCAGGGTTTCACCCTCAGAGCAATGGCCAGGCCGAGAGAGCCAACCAAGATCTGGAAAGAGTGTTACTATGTTTGGTATCCAAGAATCCTTCCTCATGGAGCCAACATCTGTCCATGGTGGAGTACGCCCACAATACCTTACCAGTGTCGGCCACGGGCCTCTCTCCGTTTGAGTGTAGTCTCGTCTTCACTCTGCACATCACAAGGATTCTCCAAACTCTGTCCATCTCGTCCCTGCGTTACCTGTCCACACCCGTGTCACAACCCTGAACTTGTTCTTTCTTTATTAAACTCTCAGTTAACTGCTATTGCTTCCTGTTTCTCCTTTACGATCATGACAAGAGCACCTTAAGACTGATAACAGACTTTTACAATCTCAAAGGAATGTGGCCACATTTGCCAAATGCGTGAGAGAGAGACAATGGTGTAAGGAACTTACTGGTTAGATTTTGGGAAAAAGTGTGCAATACTTTCTCTGATCAAAATGTATTGAATATGGTTTGAAACCAGGTCCGTACGTAATAAATCACCCAAAAAGGGATTATATAGTATACACATCTGCTTCAGATGTATATTAATCAATTAATTAAAAATAGGTAATTAAACACAACGAATTATAATTAATTAAAAATCTACATCCTACGCAGATGGGTTAATGTTGATTTTCAGAATACCTTAATAGAATTAACCGCAATCCGAGTCAGCTCGTCTGCAGGGCTTCTTGGCTGGAGACTCGCTATCAATTCTCAAGATTTCTTCTTAGGTAAACTGACTTGATTAGTGAACTTAAGCTAACACAATATCAGCTTGTAGCTTCGGATCGCATATTTAAGAGGCTTTGTTATGTGATCAACAGGCAGAGCCAATAAGCGTATAATGGAGTTTAATAAAAATGGACTACCACTACATGTTATACAAATATATATATGGAATAAATGAAAGTAAAAACAGTGAGAAAGTAAAATGGAAAACAGGGAACAACATCTACCTCTAATGCATTTTTTAACACGTAACTTTACATCATCACCTTTTCTTTTCTTCCCGTTTTCATCCATGGCAGTTCTAAAGTTAAGTCTTCTTACCTGAGTGTTCCTTGGCAAATATTTAAATATTACCTTGAGCGGACTGGAATAAAGAAATTGTTTAGCAGGATTGATATTCAAAACGGTATGCATGCACTGCTTTGTTTACGGTTTGTGTATCTGCAGCGGGCAGCATCAGTTTTTCTTTTTGACGAATGATGAATATAGACGAATATATCTGCAGAAATAGACAGTTGTCACATTTTCACCCAGGCGCAGAACGTACATTATGCCTGACAGTCGGATGTAGTTCTCTCGGTGTGTTCAAATGGAGCTTTTTTTTCCCGCGACGCAAGGGAGTCGGCTTTCATCTGCGTGGCTTGGTGTTGTGTTTTTCCAGGATGTGAAAGAGGTCGTGTTTCAAGATACGCAACGGGGTAGACCAAACTAATTAACAGGGAGGGACAGTCACATGCATGCACACGAAACACACTTCTTATTGGCCGCGTGATCGATTCCCTCATCCATTTGCGTATAAAAGATATGTAATATTATGATTTCCGTCATTGTTTTACATATATATATATTTTTCATATATTTGTGTATCAGGCCGGCCCACATTGGCCAGCGGCCCACCGGGAAAAGTCCTGGTGCTCCTGATGGCCAGTCCGCCCCTGAAGGTGGTATTAGTGATTTGATGGTGTTGTTACGAGATATTTACAGACTGTAATGACACATGGTTATTATCATTGTAAATCTGCCAAAATTCTTATAAATGTTTACATTTTATATTTAAAACACTATGATTTGTGCTATTGGCTCAAAATATCAAAAATAAATTGGAGAAAAAGTCATATTTGCTGTAGTTCACCTCTACCATTTACCACTATTTACGTTTATCCCACCAAAAGTGGATCTGAGAACCACTACTACACTTCTACACTCAAAAAAATATGTTGGCTTTAATTAATTTTTTTTCGTCAACAGGTTCCACATAATTGGATTATGTTAAACAAACATAATTTGTTCACAATTTTGTA